AAGCAATTAATACCTTAGTCAAATCTGTGCTCATGTGTGTAGGGTCAGAAAAATTCATTTTTTTCCCAAACAGCGATTTATCAAAGAAAATGTTTTTTTTTATGTATATAAACTAGGAACTATGACCAATAGGTGATGTTCGTAGAATCATTCATTTCTTGGCTGCCTGCTTTGAAGATTCTTTTAGATAGATAATTCTGTCCACTGTCCATGTGACTTCCGGAACTGCATTAGAGAGCTTAAGCTGATGTACATATACCATACATGGTACAGCGTAGCTAAGATAATTTTTGCTTTATTTTCTGTAGAAACTATGGAATGAAATCACTTGGGAGGAATTTAATAACTCCGGTAGTCTGGGAAACTACTGTAATAAGCCAGTAGCACTGACATGACTCAAGCGAGCAATGGAGTAAAGCAAATTATGTCATTACTATCTTGAGACACTATTGCTTAAGGTTTAAGGAAAAAGAATTGGCTATATGTATTCCTTTAGTCATTTCCATAATTTTTATCATAGTCAAAGTAAGCACATTCTAAGGGCTGACCAGCTCATGTGATTTCAATCTACCTTCCCTATCCATTTTCCTCTCTCCTTCCAACACCTGCCAACCATCCACACGTGTTCCCTGAAATTTTACATGCTCCTCACTTTTAGCCTTTGCGCCTGTCTCCTTTCCACTGACATTCTTCTCACTCAACAGGCATACGGTCTGCCTGACGAAGCTCTAGTCAAGAGCCAGGTTATCAGAGAGTCTTCACAAAGCTGCTAGTCTAAAACGTCTACTTCCGCTAAGTTCCCCATTCCCCAGCCCACTCTTTGCACCAGTGCTCATTTCCTGACGAGGTTTGTTGACTGGAATGTAAAGTCCAGGAGGGCATGTGGTCATGCCCTATTTTGTTCACCATTGTCTCCTCAGCACCTGTTTCATTGCCTGGCGCTCAAGTATGCACTTAATTATTACGTAAGTAGATAAATGAGTGGATGAAAACACGATTCACTGAACGATTTACTATGGATCAGCTGTTCCGCATGAGTAATAAAAATCACAGCGGAAAAGGGAATAGCTTTTACAATAACATGTAACATGACAATAATGTTCACAGATTCTATGCCGATGGACCCAGGTAGGGAGAGTCAAGGGGCTCACAGGCCTGACATGCTTTTGGTCAAAGATAACAACTTCTTTGGGAACTATTGTATTTCTTAAACTTATTTGCTCACTGAATACTGAACATTATGTATACTCATTAGAGTGGAATTTAGCAGAGTTGGAGAAAACAGGAACAGTCAAGTATATTCTTGCTTATAAGCTTCTGTCTAAGCTTTGTTTTGCATAATTCTCTGTGATATTTTCTGGCAGATCATGAAAATGATGTTAGGTGTACATTAATGATAATAAGCACTACTCATTGACTTTTTGGGTTTTTTTATTTTTTTAAGATTTATTTATTTATTTATTATGTATACAATGTTCTGTCTGCATGTTTGCCGGCACCAGATCTTATTACAGATGGTGGAAAGCCACCACGTAGTTGCTGGGAATTGAACTCTGGACTTTTGGAAGAGCAGCCAGTGCTCTTAACCTCTGAGCCATCTCTCCAGCTCTTTCCTTTAAATAAAGCTATTTCTGCCTCACAGACTTCTTCAATGAAAACCATGTATTCTATATCATTCAAAATCTATATTGATGTGAGGATATTTTAAAGTTCAAAGTATGATTGATGTTTCTTAAAGAAATATACCTTAACATGTTGGTAATCTACATATGCCAAATTTTATCATTTTAAAACATAGAAGGATTATTTTGAAAAATTAAATTTCCATTTTGGTTGTATGCAAAAAGTACTCAAAGTATAAACTCACTTCCCAAGAAAAGTGTCCAAGAAGAAACACTGTGCTAAGAAAACTGGACAAAATGGACTATAACTCTCTTTTGATAACTGTTTTATTCAAATGGACTAAATTATTAACACAACACTAAATGGAACTACAGAAGTCTTAAACTACTGGAATCTGAATTTTAGTAATAAAAAGAAGTGTGAGGTTCACTAGTAAATAGTGCACTTACGGCATCCTTCATCCAAGCCATTATTCAGGCTGAAAGCATAAGTTTAAGATTTGACAAGTTGGGTCAGGAAGTAGGCCCAGCCCGGTAAGAGCGCTTGGTACGCAAACCTAACAGCCTTAAGGAGAGAAAGGAATCCTCCAAGTTTCCTCTCACTTCCACACACACATCATAGAATGCATGTATCCACATTCACACACACACACACACACACTCAATATCTTTTTAAAAGATTAGCTAAGCTAATGAATGATTCCATAGTATTGCCTGTTACTTTATAAGTCTACATTTGTACCAGAAACAAGGCTAATCAAATGCACATGTCTTAACTAGCTGGTAACAACATGCCTTAATTTCAAAATTGATTTTTTAAAAGGGAACCTTAAGCTATAAGTTTATATTTAATTACTGCATTGCCACAGATATAAAACAGTGTCATCAATTTAAATATATTTAAAACATACATAAGAAAAATCTTTAGTGCAATAAACTGAGGTGTACATGTGTGTGCTTGTTGTGTGTGTGTGAGTGTGTATGCACAAATGTTTGTATATTTACTCAAAAGTATGTCTGCCCCTTGTTTTCAACTTTACTCCTGATTCCCTTCTGGTAACAGATGATGTTTGGCTCCCTACCATTTTTCCTGCAGTGAGATTTAAGAATTATATGTACATTTCTGGTAACTGAGAATATCTTGGCAGTAGATTTGCAAATAATCTATAAGACATGTATTCATAATTCAAAATTAATGGCAAATCTTTTTTTTAAAAAAAAACTGCTTTATGAGTTTACAAAAGTAACACTGGTTTCCTAAACTGAAGAGAAAATATATTTAATTTCTTTGGTTATTTGATTTTTTTTTTAAAGATTGCATTAAATTATGCTTGACTAATTTTATGTGATTAGTCTTTCTAAATCTCTGATTTAATATGACCATTAAACAAAGACCAAATTGGAAATGCCATGGATGGTAGTCTCCATCTAAAATACTTGATGTAAAATTCTCTTATTTTTTCCTTTGAAATAATAGAATACCTAGTTTTATTGAACGATGTTTTTTCAAGTGGCAAAGTTACATTTACAATGGAAACGACGCAACCTTCGTGAATTAAACATATACATCCTTCGTCTAAACACTGAAAAAATGCACTCCTCATCCTAGAATTTCCTTTCTAAGCTCAGTGTGTCAGGAAGGGAAACACTCAGGAGACACTTGAGAAGATGGAATCCTGGATGATGATAAACCCAAGGCTTTTTTTCTTCCTTCTCAGATCCCCTATCACAGCTTGGAACTTCTGTCCTTGCTTAGCGTTGACATTCATTTCCCAAACAATTTACAGAAGTGAGGAAATGATTAAACATGTTTATGCGCTAACAGGAAAGAGCTGGTGGAGAAAAGCAGGCTGATAGAGATCCAGGGGTAATTGATTGGAAAAGTCCCCCCCCCCCCAGAGGGAGGCAAGGATGGATTCCAGAGTCTACCTGATGAACTGGCCTTACGAGGAGGAGGGGCTCTTCTCCCTCTGAGGTCCTTGTGCACTTGGGTGGATGAGAGACCTGATCTGGAGGGGATTTACATCTGATGCTCTATTTTTCTTTGCAAAATCTGAAATGGAAAACTTTCAAACAGGGAGCAAGATGATGGGAGGATGCCCACAGATACGCAGATAGCGAACCTATTAAAAACACAGTCGGTGGTTCTGGCTGCATGACAAAGTCAAGGAGAAATAAAAGTTGATATGATACAACACACATTCAATAACCCAAGGCTGATTATAGAGGAAATGAGTCTTCCTGTGAGGGCTGTTCAAAACAGCAGTGGGGAACAGGTTCTCTGGGTGTTTCTAAACACTGTGTCTATTTAGTGTTGGTTTTTTTGTTTTTGTTTTTGTTTTTGTTTTTGTTTTTAATTCATGGCCCATTCTTCCCCTAATGATCATGCTCATGTTTCATGTCACGTTACAGAGTATGAGTGTCAGATGCTGACTAACAGAAATGCCCCACAATGAAAATAAGCCTGTAGGGCAGTGTGATGGACCAAAGAGCTTTTCTGAAATAGTAGCATCTATAGAGTCACTAAACTCACCCAAATCAAGTACGTTTCTTGAGGGGTTAAAAAGAATGCCTGATATCTTTATTTAAAAAATAGCCTAAAGAATCATAAATACCGTTGTAGCTCTGTGTTCTTTTCCTTGCCTTAATTTAGATTAAGCCAAGAGATCCTGACACTGGCTTTGTGGTTGAAGAACTGCTTAATTTCCTAACTGTCACATTTGCATTTTCTAAGTAAATATTCCCCTTCATCTCAGTAAACACTGTATTTGGCCTGCCTCTCCAGTTGCAGTCTGACAACAGCTGGCAACCTTCCTGTTCCCTTTCTCAGGTGCACACCAGGTGCTGCCTGCAGCTGTAGCCTCCTCTAGTTTGCAAACAAGGTTTTGTGCAGGTCAACTGGCTACATTTCCTAAGAATAAAACACAACGTGCTTCTCTGCGGTGCCTTCCTTGCAAGCCTGCTTCCCAGAGGCTTATTGATAGAGGTACCATGTGATGTGTCCGTTTTCTAGGGAATGGTATTGCATTCCAACTGCTTCTAGCAGTCCTCCAAGTGAGGCCGATTTGACAGATTGATAGGTATATCAAGAAACAAGTGCACTGGTACACCCAAGCATTTTCTTTCTAAAAGAAAAATCAGATCCCTATTGTATGTAGCTAATGGTTTTCAAGAAATTTATACACACACACACACACACAACCCATTTTGTATTTCCAACTGAGAATTTTCCTTTTTGGCATATTTTAGTACAGCAAAGGAAACCTCACAGAATAGGCTGCCTTGTTGGTTGTTGAATAGGATCATTGGTTGGCTGGTCACCTAAGCTAAAATGGCAGTATTATTATGTTAATTGAATTGTTTTGTTTTCTCTTTTAGGGACCTCTGGGGCCTCCAGGACAAAAGGTAGGCTCTTGTTTAAACTTCTTTGTCTAATGAGAGCTAGAGAAATGGGTGGAATTAGTGACCAGAAGCCATGCTGAAGGAGTTATTCTTTTTGTACATTCTGCTTTCTAAAAACATTCTATTGTTATACATTGGAATGTGCCTTAGATTTCCCGTCTACCTCATTGTAGAATATTCAGTAAGTCGAGAGAAGGCTTTTTGAGCTGTCTGCTGAACTTGCAGGTTATGGAATATTTAACTCAAATATTGGTAACACATTCTGACAGCATTTACAACATGAAGGATCGTGTGACACTGTAAATTGATTGCTGGCCTTGGCCAGATACATAACTGCCAAATGGCCACAAAACTGACCCTAATAGAGGATATGCTTGTTGCTTGATTCACTGCACTGCTTGGCTCACTCAGTGTCCCCCTTGGCTGAGGTAAACTGAAAAGGGACTTCCTGATTAAAATTTCAGTCTTAGCCACAATCACCAAATTACATTCTAAAGGGGAGGGTCTAGCACTCTGAGCTCACACCAGTGGACTGCAGTAAAGACAGTAAGACCAGATAAGTGGTGGCCCTTTGCCGATGAACACCAGTAAATGTCACCACCAACCTCCTACCCTGACTGGGGAGGGAGAGGGTTTTCAACGTACAGAAAACTCAAGAAAACACCAGTGCTGTAACAGGTGGGAAAGTGATTGCTCTTTATCTTGGGGCTCCATCAAAGATAGAGACTTTTATCCCCCAAGTGCCAGGCATGTGGCATCTGTTGAAACACAATCCTTCAAATCATGTCAGAGTCCCTGCACTGGGAGGCATCTTGCGTGTCGGAACAGTTTGTCCCCACCAATAATGTCTCTATTAAGCTCAGTGTGAAATTGTAAAGCTAGTCTGATCCACGTACAACCAGGATAAAATGCCGGCTCCAGGCTTCAAGACCTCCTTTAATTCTCAACTCATAGCATCACGGGCTGCATTAAGAAACCTGCCAGCTCAATTTGCTTGGCATATACTTTTTTCTCCGGTGGGCTATTCTTAGAGCAGTTTCATGATTATCATGACTATTTAATAAAATCCTTCTCCTGCTATTATTAAAAAAAAAAAGTAATATGCAACTAAGGGGAAAAACTGTTTTCTTGTTCTACATTAAGAATAAGCAAAAAAGAAAAGAAATAAAAGCATAAAACACCTCCTCCAGAGCCTACAAAGAAGAGGGGCAAGGAGGAGATCAATGCATTTATTAATGTTCCCTGTGTTCATTTAAATGCCATGGATTGTCTCAGGTTGTGGCTAGCTCTCCTGCCCTCAGTTTAGCCATCTGTATCAAGCTCTTCATTCATAGCCAGTGGTTTTATATGCCCATATGTACATGTTCAGGGACCTCCAAGTTCAACATACAGAAGTTGTGTTGTTCTGGATCGGGGCACAGCAGCTGTGGTGCTGTCTTCAGTTCCTGTTAGAAGCTGTAGTAATGCTTAGGTGACTTAAGCATGCTTCCTGAATGTCCAGAGGGAGCATGGTCCAAATATAACAAGACTGTGTCTCCAGCGGAGGGACCCAATAGAGAGGAATAAGCAGTTGCTTTTTTTAATTACCTTCTGTTCTGTGTTCTATAAACTTGGCAAGTTCAAGAGTCACTGCTACTGCTCGGCTCTCTCCAGGTAGAACTAAATTATCTTTAAAACAAAATTTAGAGCCATGTGACTGCCTGAAAGTAAAGGCTTTCAGTTCATATGAAATTGCTTTAAATCGTGTTAGTGTTAAGTGACTATTTGGGAAGAATATTAAAGTTTATCTCTACTTTCTGGAAAAGTAGCAAGATCTGCCTAGATGACTAAGTACTAGAACACAGTGAATAAAATCTAGAAAATACCATAGTAAAAGCTTCTATATGGGAGCAATGATATGTTTTAGCCATGTAAAACTATGGCTGACATAACAGATGCCACACAGATTTAGAACTGAAACATTGCATAATCATGATAGCAACTTAATTTCATCTAATGTGCTTCCTTAGGGTTCTATTGGAGCACCTGGGACCCCAGGCGTGAATGGCCAAAAGGTAAGTTTTGCTGACTGTAACATTTATTATATAACTATTCGAGCCACAGAATCAGTCTAGGGAGTGATGTTATCAATACACTTATGTGCTTACAAATACAAGAAAGCTGTGGAGTGAATGTCCAAATGAGTTGACTTGAAAGAAGCCGGGATCCAAGACTAAACCTTTCCCATTATAAGAGTTTTGGATGTGTTCCGTTTTGTTAAGTTATTGTAGATGATATAAGGTAGATGCTGCATTTAACGCAAGACACACTAGTTCATCCTCATCGGTGAATTGCTATGTGCTATTTCTTTGATTAACAAAAAGTTATTTATATGAAGATAACCTATTAAAACTTTCTCAACCAGAGACACACACACACCCCTCTGCATCCACACATCTCTTTGTGTGTGTTTTTGTTACCGTAACATATTTATCATTTGCGGAAATCATCTATGATTATCCCACAGGTAAGCCACCTGTTGTCTGTGCACTTAACATGCCTACCAACCAGCTCTCCAGTCTGGAACCTCTACAGAGATGAACAAAGCCACTGTGAGAGCTAGCAAAACCCAGAGTTGGCCCAGTCCTCCATGGGACTGGAAGCTGAGCTTGGGACTTTCCTGTCTCCCTCTGAAATCTAGATCTAGCCCTGAGAAATCCCATGACTCATGCACTCATCTTCCAGAATATTTTAAAGCCTCTTCTCCTGGACCAAGTTCTGAAATCACACCAGGATCTTAGCTCTCACCAAGAGAACAGACTTACGCACAGCCCTTCATATTGTCCATCTTCCTATCTCCCTTAGGACCTCTTAGACCTACAAAGTAGATAAGAATATGAGCCTGCCACCTGCATGCTGTGTAGATTCTGCCAAAGTGTTTGAATTCTCTGACCTCCTTTTCTGCCTCTGTATGAGAGAGACAATCACAATTCCTGCCTCAAAGGTCCATGTAGGAATTAAATGTATTAATAAGCCCTTAGACTTGTGTCTACTATTGTACTATTAAACTTTTCCTATATTTCATTTTAGTGAAATGCTAAAAGTTTAAATGATCAGTATTTCAAAGAGGCAATTCAAAATTACTCAAATTCTAAGGAAAATTAACATTCCCAATCAAGGTTCATAGCACCCTTATTACATAAGCCAGACACTGAGAACTCCCCCACAGCCATGCCAAGGCCCCATTTATGCTTCGGTAAAATGCACAATTCCCTTGCCCACCCCCATCCTGGTAAAGCCAGAAACGAACTTTCTTTTTAAAACACTGCAGATTGTGATCATGAAGGGGAAACATGATCAGAAACTTGAAATTTTCTGGTTATAAGGGAGATTTGAAGACCGCAGAACTTAGAATGTTTTAGATGTTGGTGAAGACCACGCTTGCACGCACACTTAATGATTTGCTTTCTCTTTTGTTGTCGTTGATACATCTTTCGTTCAACTTTGAGAACCGTCATAAAAATGTATAGAAAAACTGAGAGAAAGCAACTGGAAAACTACCTTTTGAAAACTTCATATACTTCTATTTTTACAAGGAAATACGCAATTTCCTCAGAAAGAGAAAGGACTATGACAGTTTCTTGTCCTAGTCACCAAATTTAAATTACGTACCAAGGAAACAGCCGTGAGTAGTCACAGCTTTATGTGCTGCAGTATATCTTTGGAGCATCCCACTTTAAAAAAGGGATGACCACAGACATTGAGAGTTCATTTTTCCTGCCTCATAGATCTGGAATGAAAACGCTGTGGGTAGAACATCCCTTAATCCTCACTACCACTTAAGACTGTCATGGCAGCTAGATCACCTTTAGGAAGATCAGTACAGGAGTCTGCTTTACCGAGACAACCAATCTTTTAGTGGCAGTAAAAATGAAGTTGGCAATAGGGCAATAATTCTACAGTTGCAGTGTCTGAGACGTGTCTTAAACTTCTAGAACATCTTTTTCTAGGAAGAAAGTTTACAATGACATAATTTTTGAAAAAACTTCAGTGTCATAACTATCTTCAGAAAATGCTTTTTTCCAGTGTTACAATTTCACGTTTCCCGAAGTAGCATTTTGATGCCTAGAAAGTCATTTTCTGACTACAGTTGGGGTAAGGTGGGGGGCCTCTAAGCCATTGGAAATTTGGAAAAAAAATAACAACTACACAGAAAAAAAATACTTTCTATTGTATTAGATAGAAGAAAGCATTTTTAAGAAAGCATTTCATTTCCCACCACAACATTTTCAAGCCATTTCGGTTGACAAAACTGGTGATTGGTTTTAGACAGTAAACTTAATGATGACTTAGTTTTTATATTTATTGTATTTTATTTAAGTATTGGCCACCTTAGTTAGCAGCCTGAATGTTTACTTCCTTAGTCTGACCTGTCTCTGTTAGTTTCGATAATGCCGATGATAATCTCAGTGTATTCGCGTGGACACAGGTCACTGCCCGCTGAAGGCTGCAACAGGGCATGGAAAGAACCAGGCACTCGGTGCCTAGCAGGCGTCTCCTCAACCCCAGATTTACTCTCTGCAAGTGGTGTGGCCCATAAAACAAGATTGGTAACGCCCACCCGTGCGGAGTATGTAACTGATGAGGACTAAGCAACATGCGTTTAGGTCATTGTCTTCCGGTTCTTTTTACTGTACTGAGTCAAAATGCTTACATAGCAGTGACACAGTGGTAAAGTCTGATCTAGCTCCTTCTGGCCTCAGCCTATAGAGGAACACTAAGTGACCGTCAATGAAAGGGGGCGGGGCAGTGTACTGCAGTGAGAACAGGACCTCCTAGCCTGAGGGAGAATGTTCCGTGTCTTTGTCTGGACACACTAGGCAGCCTTGTTATGGCTCTAGTATAAAAGGCTAGAGGCCTTGTAGTGCTAACTGGTCAAGGTAACTAAAAATCAATGTTATTAATAGATGCTCAATATCTATAGTTATACTGACATGTTTTAGGAGTCTTGGCACTTTAACTCAAGCAGAAAGAAGAACCCCTTGAAGTCAACATAGGATGAAAATAAATACACAGAGTTATAAAAGAAGCTAGAATCCCCCTCTGCCATGGCCTTTCCAGCCCATCTTTCACCCAGTATAGTGTGCGTAGTCAGAATGTTTCCTGTGTGTACAGAGAAAAGGACACATCACAGTTACCACTGGAGGTGTATCTGTGTTCTTTGAAGAGTCCTTTCCTCTCTGGGCATAAGGTGTAGCTCCATCTCTAAAAACCAAAGAAAAGACTTTCCCCTAAAGACACGGGTCCCAAAACACTATCTGTGTCACATTGCCTATTCAAGAAGCTTCTAGCATCTTTTGTGCCTAAGTGTGAAAGCTGGATTTCCATCATTTGTGCTGATTTCTAGGAGCCAAAACAGGGCAGGTGTCAAGCAAAACTTTACCTAAGCTGTGAAAGGTTGCTACTGGTTGTGTTGAACACAAAAACAAGCTTTTTAATTCTCATGTGTAGGTTCTTCTTGATTAAAACTATAAAGGACACTTTACTCGTGTGCTGTGATGGTCCTGCACACAGGCAGGTGGCCTCAGTTAAACCCTGCTCCTGAAGAAGTGCTCTCTGGAGAAGCGTAGGCTAAAGTATCATTATTAAACTGAAAAATCATTTGGCAGGATTCATGGGATTTTTTACAGTTTTGTTAGACTGTTTGGACATCAACTCTTTCAAAATTTACACTCACGATAGGTGTTATTTTAAATCCCTTATTTTTCTTTTTGCTTTATATATTTACCTTACTTGGCTCAAGCACAGTAAGCCATAACCAAAATGATTTATTTGAGTAGCAATTAGTACAAATGCCATGGAAAAAGAGCTGGTAACAGCTAAGCAATAAATAAAAGGCCCAGCATATGTATTTACTTATATCCTTATCTATTTATCACTAAAAAAGAATGTCAACTGTTTTGTTTTTTATAATTAAAAGCAAATAATGTTTGCTATGAATGCTAGAACTTGTTAGAGTCCTGGGTCATAAGGATTCTTGCCAAATCAAGAAGCGTATCAGGTGATCTTGGCTGCTATATTTTTCAAAAGCTTTTCTAGGACATATTTTTAAAGTTTAAAACATAATGTAAAAAAACTGAGACTAATGTGTCATCTATGAATCTACCCCAGATATCTGTGTGGTTTTTAAATAACATTAAATTTTCATTAGCTTGTAGCCATGGTATTTGGAATGCTGTTTCATCTTTTACCCAAGAGCCTCATAGTTCTTAGCTGACATTCGTCTTCACAGAATACTTCTAATGGCATTTTTTATTGTAAGTATATTTAGAGTGCTGATAAATTGAAGCTTCCAGACTTGCAAAGGTCAAATCATGGACTCACGTCTACACAATTAAACCACACAGTGAACCCAATATTTTGTGCTCGATTCAGTCAGTGTAACCATTAAACATACCTGTCTTGTTTAAATCTTTTTTTTAAAGTCTGAATTATGACCTGGAGATGTAGTCCAGAAATAAGTGCGTACTTGGTGTTTCTAAAGCTAAGGTTCTGTCTCCAGCACACTCCCTAACTCTGAATTAAATTCTTAAAGGATTTCGATATGTTTAGATGTGTTTTCTGTAGCCTAAAAGTTTTCTGTAGCAGAACTTGCCAGTGAGTTATTTCGTTTTGACTTTCTATTGCTGCCTACTAAGTAACAATAGCGAGGAAAAGAAATGGTTGATTTCTGATTCCAGATTAGTTAATGGTTCAGGGAATTATCTTACAATAATTTACTTCTTGCATTCAATAATTTATTCTTGTAAATTGAATTCTATTCATTATATTTTCTGTCTCCTTAAATTAGAGATTATGTAAATTAGAGCTCTGAGAACCTAAGACCACTGTTCCTATGGTAACCGTGATGCCACTCCTCCGTTCTTCTGAGCATTTTCATTTTCCCATTACTCATCCTTCACCCTTTAGAATGCTTGAAACAGTCTCAAACGCTCCACACACCACTCTCTACTTCGGAATTCACTTCTCACTCAGTTCAACTTGCTAAATGAAACTGAAGATGCTCCCGTCTTTT